TTCTGTGATTCTATGATTTTACTGCTGCTCACCTCATGTGATATTCATCTAATGCAACTCTATTTCGTTCTCACTTATAGCTTGCAGTGGTCCAGTAAGAGCTGCCTGGGGGATGCGGTGCTGCACAAATTAAGGGGATGGGCAGCAAAACGGTGCCTGCTGGAGAAGGACTAAGCAACAGTAAGGATCCAGAATGAAAGCTGGAGCCAAGCTCTCCTGATAGCTTCTTTAATGACCTGGGACAAACGCTTGTACCTCCCATTTTCAACAGGGAATGCTGAGCAAGTAAAGATGCGTTTTTGATCTGACGTTCTGAACTCTTAATCATTCACTTAACCACTTGAAATGCCGGCGAAACCTCCCTGAGTCCGAGATGAGAGTCACACCCACGCTTTTCTGCCTTGCTCCAGGTTTACTTTCATGTATGGTTGGAAAAACTGTTTGAGCCATTCAACCGTGCGTGTTTGCATGTGAATCTATTCAGCTGTTCCTACCTGAAATGAGACAACACCTCAGAAAGTCAAACTGATGAAAATGCTATGAGAATATCCGATTGTTTTGCTGTAAACCCCTCAGTCACATCATCTCCTTTGGTGTGGCACTGCTGCCAGGAGCAGTTTTTCCTTTATAGCCCTGTGAGTCATGCCAGAGAGCTTTCCTTTCCACTCAGCAGCAAAATGTGTGGTCATCTGCAGCCTGGAGCAGGAGGTGCTGGGCTAGTGGGCAGCTTGGCGCCTTTCACACTCATCCTGTTTCTTCAGTAGATGCTGAATTGCTTTTTCCAGTCCTTATATGTTTCCCTTCTAGGTCACTGCTTAGTAATTGCTACTTGAAAAAGTTTATGTAGGTGGCAAATTTAATGCTCCATCCCCAGTGCTGTCGTGGCAGCTGGCTGATTGAAGGCCTCCCCACCCAGGACACGTGCAGAAGCAAACCTCCTTAAGAGAACCACGTTAGAAGTAGACCCCACACCTACTGAGTGCACAAAGGCCATACTCTGTGTTCAGGCTCCCTGTTACGGTGCCTGAACCAGCCTTATGCAGCGTTGAAGCTCAGGAAAGCGATCCATTGATCTGGACAGGCTGGCTGGATGGGCCGAGGCCAACTGCATGAGGTTCAACACGGCCAATTGTCAGGTCCTGCACGTGGCTCACAACAACCCCATGCAACACCACAGGCTTGAGGGAGAGTGGCTGGAAAGCTGCCCTGCAGAAAAGGACCTGGGGGTGCTGGTTGGCAGTCGGCTGAATATGAGCCAGCAGTGAGCCCAGGTGGCCAAGAAGACCAACAGCATCCTGGCATGTACCAGAAATAGTGTGGCCAGCAGGACTGGGGAAGTGATCGTGCCCCTGTACTCAGCACTGGTGGGGCCGCACCGCAAATACTGTGTTCAGTTTTGGGCCCCTCACTACAAGAAAGACATTGAGGTGCTGGAGCGTGTCCAGAGAAGAGCAACGGAGCTGGAGAAGGGTCTGGAGCACAAGTCCTGTGAGGAGCAGCTGAGGGAACTGGGGTTGTTTAGCCTGGAGAAAGGGAGGCTAAAAACCTTGTCGCTCTCTACAACTACCTGAAAGGAGGTTGTAGTGAGGTGGATGTCAATCTCTCCTCTCAAGTTATAAGCGATAGGACAAGAGGAAATGGCCTCAAGTTGTGCCAGGGGAGGTTTAGATTGGATATTAGGAAAAATTTCTTCACCAAAAGGGTTGTCAAGCACTGGAACAGGCTGCCCAGGGAAGTGGTTGTGTCACCATCCCTGGAGGTATTGAAAAGATGTGTAGACATGGCACTTAGGGACATGGTCTAGTGGTGGACTTGGCAGTTGGACTTGATGATCCTAAAGGTCTTTTCCAACCTAAATCATTTTATGACTCCATGATAACTGCCGGGTCTTCCAGAGGGAGAAATCACAAGCAAGGCTCCCCTAAAGAACTGAAGGGCAGAGGTTGGTCAACATGTGCATCAGCCTTTGCAGCGATCACATGAGTGTGGGCTCATCTATGGACTTCCCACCAATGTGTGACCTATTTCTCCCCGATGCAAAGCCCTGCTCATAACACTGACCCCCAGAGAAAGACTTGGGGCTACATCTCCTCCTTGAACCTCCCTCCTTGCTCCAGCTCCAGTGCTGGTCGCAGAGCCAGAGGCTAAGGGCTGCTCCTGCCAGATCTTCAACATGGAGCAAGGCAAAGGGCATTGGAGAAGTGAACCAGGTCCTGCAGAAGTAAGAGTTGGTGGTTTCCCAGCTCTCCAGGGCCAGTGTGCAGGAAGAAAACAACACTGAATGCTGCATGCCAAAGAAAAGGCCAAAGCCAAGCTCCAGAAAGCCCTTCTGGAGCAAAATGCACCCTGCCAGGAGCTTAAGGAGAGAGGAAGGGAAGGACGAGAGGTGCCCACATCCACACGGGGCTGTGGAGGAACAGCCCTTCTCCAGGCTGAGCCAGAGGGACCACTCAGGCCTCGTTTCGGGTCACGCAGGGACCAGCTCCGGCAGCTTTTGCAAGTGCCGAACGGCATCTGCGACTTGCCAAGAATTTCTATGGTGTCTCTCTTTTTGGGGCCTCTCTTCTTGCCTCACTTTACAAGGAGGCAAAGGCAAACAGCCGCCGCTCCCCCCGATCCCCACGGCAAAGCCCCGCTCGGCTGCCGTTCAGCAAAGCTCCGTACAGTAGTAAAAGTACACTTTATTCTCTGTACAACTCTCATCCAAATCTCCAGGCACGGAAACGCCCACTGCGTCCCCAGAAAAAGATGCGGATTGTTCTGCTGCCGCTGAGACACCCCACCACTGTCCGAGAGGGGCACGAAGCCACCGAAAAGAAGTGCTGATGTTTTCCAGGGGCAGGGAGGGGAGCGGGGAGGAGGGAGAGGGGGAGGCAGTCCCGCTCTGCCGAGCCGCCGGCCAACGGAGCCTTCGGCTGCTCACTGGGGAGCAGAAGAGGCACCTTCCAGTTCGCGTCATCGTTCGTGCTTGGTGTGGGAGTCGTTGCGTTCGACCATCACCCCGTTCCCGTTCCGTGTCACCTCCTTCCTGTTCCAGTCCTTTTCCAGGTAAAACTCGGCGAGCACGGGGCAGTGGTCCGAAGCCACCCCACCCCAGGACCAGTTGTCGGGGATCCATGGGTTTGTAAGACCTTCACGCACAACAGCCCAGTGGCCTGTGGGGAAAAAGAACCGCAGAGAAGATGAGGAGTGGTATCACCGGGGTTTGGCACACACCACCGACCTGGCCGAAGGTGACACCACCTCACGGGAAAAGCAGCTCTACCTGTGAAAACCTTTTTCAAGCTCCGACTGATCCAGATGTTATCCAGAGACTTGGACCCCTGCGGGTTCTTCGTGCTGATGTTGGTGAAGGTGCTGGAAGGGACCAGGTGATGGAACTTCTCCTTCCTCAGGATGTCGTGGTCGCTGCTGTCCGGGGCCTGGTTAAAATCTCCGAGGATGATCACGTCTTTTTCTCCTAGAGAGCAGAAATTTAGAAATGAATGGGAGGAATGGACATCCATCACTTACGTACAGGAGGGAGGGAGGATAAATGGGAGGAGGTGAAATACAACTACTGAGTAGCAAAGTCGACTTTACTCTGAACTCCTGAAAATAACGCTGTTTAAAGCCTTTTCCATTGATGGAAAAGGCTCTTTGCTCATGGCTGTGCTCTTTGTGACAGTAAAAACCGGCTGGTTCACATTTCATGCTTATTTTTAAATATCGTCACGTTTATACCGGCATCCTTTGCTCACTACTCGCTGACAGTGACAAACTCAAAGATAAGCAGTTCTGGTCTTGGAGGTTTTTAGAAATCTGTGACTTTGTAAGCTTTTTTTTTTTTCTTTTTTTTTCTGCAAGAAACACATATTAGCTTTAACTTATCCTGACATTGTCTTGTTATAGATTTGCTGTAACAGTCACGGACACTTTTGTAAGAATCTCAAGAAGACACAGCCTTATGCTGGTATCTACCCAGAGTCCCAAAAGTGCAGTGCTCATTCTGACCCTCTGCATTTGAGAAATCCCAAGGAACAAGCCCAGGCAACAAGCCTGAGGAGCAGCCTGCAAGCCTGATGGCAGAAGATGAGTTCACAAACCACACAGATGCTCCCTGACTACAGAAGCTTTCCTTTGCCTGGCCAACTGAAGGGATACTGCTGAACTTGGGACATCTTAGATTTTGTCTAGGGCTGAATTTTCAAAGAAACAAAGGGAATGGCTTGAAATGCTCATCAAAAAATCCTGTCTTCACGTGAACAGCAAATGACCTCAGTTACATTTTATTTCCCACCCTACTGAAGTGAGAAAAGAAAGTCTGGACCATAATTTCATATCCACGACGTGTGTTCTCCTAGCTTCACAGCTGCAGATGGAGACATCCCAGCTGGGCACTGGGGTAAGAGGACAACACACATGCCCCAGTGCCCACCTCAAACCACTGCCAGAAACCTCTGATAAGACAGACTCAAGAACACTGATAACTGATCAGAGATGTTGCTGCATCACAGCTGGGGACTGGAGAAGGAAGAAGATGCCAACAGGAGGCACAAATGCACCAAAAATTAGCCCAAAAGCTGACTTCAGAGATGAGGACTAGGAGAGTCTGTAAGTTTTTTCCTTCCTGGGATTGAAGTGTGGAAGGAGATGGGTGGACAGATGGATTGCTCTGCCATACCCAGCGCTCACAGAGAAACCTCCTCGTTTTGTGCTGCTGCTGTAGAATTAGGGAGCCAGGAGAGGGAGCACAAGTTCAACAACCAAATCTATTCCACTTCTGTCTCGCACCGCATGGAAGATAACTGGGAAAGGGCAGGAGAGCAGCGAGATTGATGGTGTGTGACTCACAAAACCAAATCCTTCCAAATGTGCTGCTTGCTAAGATGCAGAGGGGCGATGAAAAGATAGCGGAACTATTTGCGGTTTCTCTGCCCTTTGCAAGTCACAAATCATATTGGAAATGACGTGAGGTTGAAATATTATTCTATAAAGTGTTCACGACAGTGGCCTTCCCACCTTTAAAAGGAAGAGAAAACCCTAACCCGAACTTGAGCTATTTTAAGCTCCACCAGAACCCAAAAGCCTGTCTAATGGGATGGTAGTCCTTGCTGTGAGTTGGCAGTTTTGCACGCATCTCATTGCAAAAAAACCCAAGATCTCTCACTTGGCAGGACCAGGGAGCCTGAAATGCCACCACGCCGTCTCGGTCCTTCGGGACTAATGCTTGTTTAACAGCTCAGGCAGCACTTGGCTCCTTCCACGTTTTCAGCTTGGCCATATAGGCAGGGAAAGGGCATTATAGAAACCTCTGGAGCACATCCTTTGGCAGGGGGGAGGGTGTGTTTAAAAATGACAGAGAAGCAGGGATCTTAACAACAGTATCTCAATCCCCCACAAAATACATTCTGTTCCATACCATTCCTTTCCACTCTATTTTATTCTATTCTTAAAATACTAGTACTTATTTTAGCAAATCCTCAAGCTTATTTCCCTTTCATGAAAAATCTATGACAAAAACCATACTCACAAGCAAAAAAAAAGTAACAGACTGCTCCGTTCTGGACAGTTTAGAAATAGCAGAGGTTAAAAGACTCAGCACCTGGAGATGTGCTCAGAAGGAGGTAGGGAGTCAGCCTGCAGCGTGCCCAGGAAGGGAGTCACTGTGTTCTTCACCCGTTTAAAATTCCACATGTGGAATAACTAAGCATAAAATCCTAATGCAGTGTACATGTGACAGATGGAATAGGCTGGGGAGCGTCAAAGAAGCTGAAACCCAATTTGCCATTGGGGATGGAAAGGATTGCTTCTGGTCCCCTCTCCCAGGAGCTTCTGGGGCTCCATATGACTGCAAATTACCAGGGAAAAGGCCAGGCAGCCTGGCACTAACACAAGAAAAGCAGCCACTGCCAACTTTCTAGATAACCACCAACTTTGCTTCCCCTCATCCTGGCTCGCCCTCAGCCCTGCTCCTGCCTCCTCCAGCTCCCACCACAGTGATGCTGCGCACGGCGGTTCTGTCTCCCATCTGCCTCCCGAGAGCCCAGCAGACATCGAGCAGATGGAGGGAAGGAAGTAAACGGAGACAACGCTCCTGGTGCTGTGCCGGGATTTGACACTTTTGGATGAGGTGAGAGTTTGAGACTGGCAGGGCTCGATCCTCCGGAGGAGATCCCAGAATCTACTGCTCCCTGAGGACCCAGAGCCTGGGTGGGACTTTCAGGGACCACGGAAAGTCTGCAGTGTCGACATCGGCTCTCCCGTGGGAACTGGGAAACCTTCCCTTGCTTGGCGACAGCCCAAAGAGACACCTCTAGGATGCTGTCTTTGACTTTCCCATGCCCCAAATAAGTCTCCTCACCAATTAAAAAGACCCTTAAACCCCTAAATCCTTCCTGGAGAGAGTGAGAAGTGGATGATGAGAAGGATGTGATGGTACATCATCTGTTAGGAGGCTCCCTACCACCTCTCAAGGGTCTTCTAAGCTTAGTGCCTGATGCACGGGTAAACCGTGGAACATGGCCAAGGCAGATGGGAAGATGACTAGGCCAACATCCCACTGCCCGCGTCTGTGCACTGCCAGCACATCCAGAATAGCGTCTGTGTGTCACCCATGGTCACCACACAGAAGATTAACAGAAGGAGTGCTTGAGAGAAGGCAGAAGGACTACTGCAGAGAGTTAGCTACGGGCAGCAAACAGCCACTGCATCTCTCTGGTACTGCTGAAGGGAAAGAAAGAGGGGAAAAAAGGAACCAGGGGCCATGAAGGTGATCTGAGGGCTGGAGCACCTCTGCTATGGAGACAGGCTGAAAGAGTTGGGGCTGTCCTACAGGAAAGCTGGAGAGGGACTTTTTACAAGGGTGTGTAGTGATAGGACAAGGGGCAATGGCTTTAAACTGAAAGAGAGGAGATTTCAATTAGATATAAGGAGGAAATTTTTCACTCAGAGGGTGGTGAGGCACTGGCACAGGTTGCCTAGAGAAGTTGTGGCTGCCCCATCCCTGGAAGTGTTCAAGGCCAGGTTGGATGAGGCTTTGAGCAACCTGGTGTAGTGGAGGGTGTCCCTGCCCATGGCAGAACTAGATGATCTTTGAGGTCCCTTCTAATCCAAACCAGTCTATGATTTTATGACTCACTGGTCTAATGGGAGAAATATGGGGACACTACTGCTCTGCATTACAGGAAACTGTGGCGAGTAACCAAATTTCCTCAGATTCTCACGTGCCTCTTCATAAGTATGAAAGATAACAGAGCAGGTGCCTGTTGGCAAAATGGGTGCAGAAACTCCAATTTACTGCAGTACCCACAGACAAATCAGTTCTCATTATCCATATTTTATGGATTGATTTGGAAGAAATTGAAGGACGGCGGTAACTTTAAGCATGACATCGATTTTGGCAGGGCAATTCAGTACTTCAAAGTAACACGTGTGCACTACCATTTGTTTACAAAACAAAACCTGCATCCCACAAGTTCAGAGGAATCTGAGCGTCATCTTCTGTGAAAGACTAAGCCAAGAACGAGTACGCTCCAGTAACACGCCTGCCCATATGCAAATAAAACATGAAACAAAGAAGAGCCCTGACACGGACAGGCTAAATTTAGGAGCAGCGGAAATGCAAGCCCGTTGACTTTGGAAGAGCTACACATTTATCCATGTCTCAGTTCAGCCTTCGGGGATTAAACAAACGATCCTTTTGTTTACCTTCATCCTTTCCAATTTCGAGGTACGTGGACAAATACTTAAATCAGTAGCACTTAAAAATAGCTCTGACTGGCTTCTTGCCACTCCAAAGTGAGCCAAGCTGAAAATCATCACGCAAATCACCTTGTAACCCTTTGGCCTCTTTGTTAAGCAGTGACCAAAGGGGGAGTTTTTTCTGTTCCTGTCACAAGATCCACAACATTTCGAATCTGAAACGTGCTGCTCTGCTGCGTAGGAAATTGGATTTCATTCGCGAGCTCCAAAGTAAGAAGCAGATTCTCAGAAACCAGGTAAAGAAATTCAGCTGCCAGTTACATTGCTTAAGTTCAGATCTCGATTCTGGTGTCCCTCACTCTGGTGTAAAACCAGAGCAACTTATTGGAAATCAGCAAAATTATCCTGCATGTTACACCAAGGTACCAAAGCAGGATTTGATCCCTCTTTTCATTAGCAGCCATCTCCTGATTTGCACTAGGTTTTCCAAAGTGTTTCCAATTATCCAAAAAGTAGATATATAGAACCTATTTCTTTTGGAAAAAAAGCCATTAAGCTTTGGAAAAAAGGTGTTGAGCTTTGTTCTGGTATCAGGTAGGTGTCATTTCCACAAAGCACTTAAAATAGGGTCTTTACCCTGATGTCTTTTCCTTTTTTTTTTTTTTTTTCCCCCCTGGCTAAAAATAAAGTTGATTTTTTTTCAAGATTATTTCATGTGCTTCTACTCCTCCCTGTGCTAATTAGGGAAGATTGTAAGACAATGAGCAAGGGAAAAGCACATTTGCCACGCTATGCGCCATTCAAGTACAAACACCAGTAGAGACCACTGGGAGGCTGATGAGGATATTTTTGAAACTCACATCGAGATCGATTTTTTTGTTGTTGTTTAAATTCCTTTTGATTAGATAAACTGGCCAGTGTGCATGTGATAGCTGGCAGGAAAAAACCTGCCCTACCTTTCAGAGTCTCCTGCAAAGTCTGTGCAAAGGCTGCCAGTTTGTGGCTGTCGTGGTTCTTCCCGGTGTTCTCTCCTGCCGAGGGTGACAAGGCCAGATGGAGGTTAACCACCGTCAGATCATTCATCCCAACCTGGGGGAGGAAGGAGGAGAAATCAGTGCCACCCACACGGGCCACGCAAGGTCACAAAGCAAAACCACATGCCTGTTCCCAGCACTTTGGGCAGTAAATCTGGGTGACTGAGGCTCACTGCGCTACGTACATGGGGTCTTCTGGTTTGTCTTGGTTGTGGGATGAAGCAGCAGAAGGCATTTTGCAGGTTTGTTTGCAAAAACCCGATACCTTCTCAGCTCTGGGGAAACTGGTTTGCATAAGCAAACAGCTTCTTTCCAGCACGGTTGTAGAAAGAAGCCAGCTGCTTATGAAAATCCGTGTATGCAAAACCAGTTGCTAATAAGCTGTTGTATTTGTTTACACAAATAATGTCATGGTCATTACATGGGCTAATTACTACTCTCTTGTGATTAGCCCCTCACAGAGACTAAGGAAGAAACTTAATGTACCTTGAAAGGAGCTGTTGGCTCCCTGCAATTTTCTGCTTACCTTCTGGGACTCGCTTGGCACAAGTAATACTTACTCCTAATAGTGATCTACTTACACTATTCATTAATTATTATTACTTATTACTAATAATTTATTTATTCATAATCATTTTATTAATGCTGCTTCTCTCAAAGCATTACCAGAGATGTCGAGTTCCCCCAAAACCCGACCCCTCCAGCACAGCCTGTGGGGAGATGGGCTCTCTCCGCTTGTACGTTCACTCGGGCATAAGTATGGGAACAGCTTCCAAAATGCACGATGTTCTTTTAGATGGGTTCAGAAGAATCCACGGAGCAAGGGAAAGGACAGACTTCGGTCATCTCCCATAGGCGTGACGACCCACTAAGCACCTTTCTATAAGCAAGCCAGGAGACAGTGCTGAAGCTGCTTTAGAGCCTCACGCAAATTTTTCTCTCTTAGAAGACTGTGTCTCTTTCCATCTCACCCAAATTTTCTTAGTAAAAGCTAAACCCTGCACCAGCAGTTACCTTGAAATGTGCAAGATAGGGGTGAGGGTACGAGTGCTTCCCGTTGCCGTTAGTCTGCGCGCTCTCCTGAGATGAGGCATCTTTCAGCTCGATGCCAGCTGTTGTATCCCAGAGGAAGCCAGAATATTCAACTCCCTGGAATTAAAAAAAAAACACAAAACAAAACCAACAAAAATAAAGAAAAGCTAGTAGTAAGAAGGTAAAAATAAAACATTCTGCCCAAAAGAAGCCCCCGTGGTGAAACTTTCACCCGCACATTTCAATACCACTGTTTTTTTTTTTTTATTACTTCAGGACGTGGAATTGGCATATCCAGAAAGCTGCCGGCCCTGGTTGAACCAGCAGCAGTATCTAATTCAAAGCCTGTCAGCCTCTCCTCCCATCACCCAGACACCATGTTCCTTGGTATCATTCAAACCCGCTTCCCTTAGCGAATCGCAGTTAAACCCACCCCAAGGAAGAGTTTTTTCCATTTCAGCTCACCCAAGGGGTAGAGGAGACTTTTTGGCTTAGTGGAGGGTTCTCCAACACAGCCACATTTCTGTTAAAGCAGCTAAAAGGAAGAGCCAGTGGACAATGTTCCTATTCTTAACTTGGCCACAGACTTCTCCTGTAATTTTGGGAACCATTCATCCTTACATCTCTACCAGTAAAGCAAGGTAGATGGCAGGGGGGTTGGAACTAGATGATCTTTGAGGTCCCTTCCAACCCTAACCATTCTATGATTCTATGGTGACATTTATTTACTCAGCCCATAGTCAAAACTTTCATTGTTATCTTTGGAAATACAGCTCAAGAGAGAACTGACTAAAGACTCTGGATTTAACATAGAAACTCCGAGATGATTATTAATAATTCTTGGGAAAAAAAATAAAAAGCGGAGAGAACAGCTTCAACGACTTTGCACAACTTTTTAAATTCAGTGTTTTAATGATTTGGCCTAACAAGAGATCCCAAAGGAAACCTCCAGCCAGGAATAAAAACGTCCTCAAGGGCATCTGCAATCTGCACTGGAATTAAGTGTGAATTGTGTTCAACCTTGGACACACTCAGACCCTCTGTGTGTTTCTATGGTAGCTAGAGTCCAAGCCTCGTGCTGCTTACGTGGTGGGGTTTTGTTTGGTTTTGTTTTTTTTTTTCTCCTCATTCTTGTGTTTTACTCAGAGTGGCAATAAAAGGAGGTGCACCTCCCAAAACATCAGTCCAAAACCAGTGAACGATGACATAACCTGATTTGGAAAAGCCAAATTAGGGAAATGTAGATTCTAAGCCACATTTTCAACAACAACAGTGCTCTGAATAGGTGAGGACAGCCTGATGTGCTGGTAGGCACCGTTCACTGCATGGCAGGTCTCAGTTCCTGCTTCTACCCCAAAACAACATCCACCCTGCAACAGCTGCATCATGAGAACGATCTCATTCAGCAACAAGAGGCTTGAGCTCGAGGAGGACCTTGCTCTGAAATCTCATTAGCATCCTTAAAGGGAAAAAAGAGAGATTTCCCTTGGGAGAGACCGCTTTTGGGCACCGTTAGTGGTGTCCAGTCCAAAGCAGTGATACCTTGAATATCATCAAAGGTAGCAGGTGTAGCTGCCACCATCTTATAAATTAGTACCTCGCTGCAGTACATACACATATTTTCCCATGGCAGAGGATGCTGCAGGGAACAGCAGAGCGCAGCACGGTGCAGATTTCGAACGCAGCCCGCAGCGTTTCAAACATCTGCTCAGGGCACTGTGGGGAAGGCGTGAGAGAAGCTCCTCTGCCAGATGTGGCCGGCAGCTGGCATGGCCCCTCTGCAAGGTCTTCATTTGCAAACTGGGAAAATGGGAAGCCCTTCTGAAAGCCAGCCGGTGCTGCGCTAGGGAACGAGCTCAGGGGACTAGCACAAAAAAAATTCAGAAGTACTGCAGCCTGCCAGGGGCAAAACCAAGGACTCTTGCCTTGTCCTAATGTTCTTCTATGTTTCCATCCTGCTTTTATCCACCATACCCCCCCCAAAGACACTCACCTTCCTCCTTACGAGTGTGCCGCAGGCTGAGGAAAACAATTCTTCCAAAAAAAAAAAAAATGGATCGCACAGTTGGACTGAAAGCTAGAGGAACAGCCAGCTTAAAAAACAAGAGATGGAAACCTTGCCAAAAGAGATTTGCAAGATGTTTTGCCTTAAACCGATTCAAAAGATGTCCTTGCTCAGAGAGGGGGTGAAAAAAGTAAAGCAAAGCTGAAGTTCTGACTTGGGGATTAATGTACCTTGTGTAGCTGGCCCGAAGGTTTTTCGGAAACAACACCCTTCCAACATCCTCTGGGGCCCTTCCACTTGCGGATGTTTGGCAGTGTCGGCTGGTTCAGCTCCATACAAAACTAGAGAGAGAGGAAAAAGGAAAAAAAAAAAAAAAAGATCAGTTGAGCAGTACGTTTCTCCCTCAAGCTCTTTTTTTGCCCCAAAGCTACTTGTTTGACTGGAAAAGGGTTTCCTTCGTGCTGCCTCCAAAGCTGCTGACTGCCCCATCTCACATCCCCTCCCATCCTTCCAGGGTCTCTGAGCCACCAAACCCTCCCAGTGGGAAGGAAGCCCCCGTCGCGTGGCTGGCTCCTCTCCAACAGCACAACACAAGAGGAAGAATGCAGGCCAAGCTCAACAGCTGCCATTTCGTGGTTAAGACTCCTCCAGCTTCATCCCAGGGATGCCGTGGGCCCCTGGCAGTGCCAAGATGAGAGGAGGACCCTTCTCCTGAGTGAAGAGCTGAGTGATGAGCCCGTACCTTGATGGCAAAGAAGCCAAGCGTTTAGGCTAAGGAACCCCAACAGAATTATCATGGCCAAGGGCACGCTGCGGGAGATGTGACACGTTGGATGAAGGAGATGCTTAACACTTCAGGGAGTGTTTCAACGTCTGCACTTTGATGGGCATGTAACAAACTGCCACCGTAAAACACGTACCAGAGGCAAACCCCATAAACTGCTGTAGGAGCTCTGCCTAAAGTTTCTGGCCTTTTTGGAAATGTGAAAAGAACGGCTGGCACATCTCCACCCGGCGTTTTGCAGCTGTGCATACCCCACAGATGCTATAATGCCACCACATACACTGTATACCACCACACGGTGGATTCAGACAGATGCTTTCTGGATGATTGAAACATCCTGTCCACAAAGGGATCAGCTGCACACTTGCCCACAGATCCCACAGATCCTTCTCAGGCTCCTCAGAGGCGTTCCACATTCCTGGGCACTGCTGTACAGCCACAGCACCCAGACATCTTTGGATGTCCAAGAACACCCTCAGAGCTATAGAGACTGCGCCCATCCAAGCAGGGATGCTGTGACTGTGGACACGCTGGAAAGTCCCCAGGTCCACCTGGGTAACACCTTGAGATTGAAATAAAAATAATAATACAAAAAAAAAAAAAATCCCTATGCCCTGGAAAATGTGGAATCTGAAACCTCTTGATGGAGACAATATGGAATATTTTTTCCCAGGAGTTTCAAAATAAAGCTTAAAAGGAGGAGCTACAACCCTTTCACAATGAAAGAGCATCCTCAGACAACATCTTGTACCCAGGATGTCCCTCCAAATCAAGCAGCAATTTAACAAAAAAGGATTTTTGAGGCAAACAACAACCTCCTTTGCACAGTGACTCTTTGCAGCGGGACACGCCAGACGCAGCTCAAAGAACTACAGTGATAAACTGCACGGATAGAAGCGTTTCCTACGTGGATATTGGCAAAGCAACGGGACAGCTACTCTCACATTTATTTTATCTTTTGATTCAAAACTAAAAATCCAACCCTGCTCTTTCACAGGTTGCCTTGTCTACAAGCTCCGCATCCCGGAGGCTGTAGGTGTAAGCACTGACTTCTTGGATACACACACCCAGCCACACTTTTTTGCCTTGGAAGGCTGAGAGTCATTTTCGTGGCACGCCTGGAGCGAAAAAGCTCAGCTCACCTTTTAGAACAGCTTTCTGAAAGGCAGAGATTGGCTGAGGCATGTCATTGAAGATGCCGCATCGCCATACCGCGTCATTGTCCGTTAATATATGTTAATGCACCTGCAGGCAGCGCCAGGGCTGGGCTGATTTATTAAAAGGGGATTTGCACGGCCCGGGAACGGAGCGCTGCTCTCAGCTGATTGCCAGGTGCTCCCCCAAGAAGCACAATAAATCACAGAAGCAACAATTATTCATTCCTGATGTCATTCCGATGACTTCAAACAGCGGGAATGCGGTGAATGAGTTTTCTAACATTTAAATAACTTCCATTCGGAAAAAAAAAAATCCAAAGCTGTTGAATTTAGGAGTTCAACTGTAACCCGACAAAGGAGTTCACTTATCTCCGGGTTGCAGCCGCCTAGAAAATCCAGCACAAAGTATGCGACAGGGCTGAATAAATCCTACAGAAACCACCGCTTTATTAAAAAGAGCGTCTGCAGTTGACTAGTTTGAATATTTTGCTTCCTCCAAATAGATTTTTGTTTGTTTGTTTGTTTTTTAAGGCCTTGATTTAACATTGCTCAAACAAAAAGATGACAAATAAGATTACACAGTTTATTCAGAAAAAAAAGCCATCAGCCTGCTCTGGGCACGGCTGCAGCGACAGAGAGCTTGGCCTACAGCAGCTGGCATTAATCTGTGCCCATTTTCCAGGGCTTGCAGGCACACGGATTTCGAAGCTGTGACAGCATACTTGCTTAGGTCATGGGATTTTTTCTGAAGCGCAAAGGGCACTTCTCAAATCCTGTTGTTCTGCCCACAAAACCCAACGTCAAACAGCATTACGCTTTCCCTCGTACAGTAAAAATACACGGACAAGCTCTCAGCCCACACTGGCCATGAAAAAAATGCCTTTCCTCCTTTGCAAAACCAAGCTAGAGCTGTGCCAGTCCCTTTGAGGAGCAGTTCTGCCAGTGGTAAACAAAAATGAAGATTAAAATCTCAGTCAATCAGAACAACATTAATTTTTTTTTTTTTTCCCAAAACCCTCCTAAGGAAAAAAGCAGTGCCAGGCTCCAGGCATGCTCTAGGCAAAGAGCAGCCTGTGCTCTGGAGAGGACAACCCCCTTGTGCCAGGCACCTGCCCATTGCCCCCACTAGCCGTGCAAGGCGCCGACAAGGGCCACCACCCCAGGAACTGGGACGAGCCCCATTGCCTTTGCTCATCAGCAACACGTCATTTTCCCAAGAAGGGAGGATCCAAAGACATAATTGTTCTTTGTCCACTCTGATAAGGAGCTGGTGCCTGTTGCTCCCAGTCCCTCCAGAAGCAGCTCCAGGAATGAGCTTATGACTGACACTGGAAAAGAACAGAGGGCAGGTGGAAGAAGCTGGGGAAACACACATTTGAGAAGGGAGAAGGGAAGGCAAGGGGTCTTGGACTAGTTTGGGAGAAGGAAGAAGAACATATGCTGGGCTGGCACACGCTGGAGATCATAAGGGAGCTACAGACTCCCTAACACACCGACCTGCCTCGCCAAGACACTCCAAGCACTGCCAGCAAGAGCATCCAAAGTGTTCTCAGCACCTAAGCTGAACCTCCTGCAGTGCAGTAACTCTGCACACCAGGACTGCTGCCCACGAGCACCCTGCAGCAGCCCCTGAGCACATCTCACCACCTTTTGTTCAGGGTGCCCTGGCTCATCTTTGTTTTCTTTTGGGGTGCTGTTTGTGCAGCCGGTGCCAAACCAGGCACAGCAGGGTCATCTTTTCCAGCTGATGACACCACTCTATGCTGAGTATCTTTGCCTGTCAAGTGTTACTCCTGTAGTACCAGCACTGGGGACCACACTGAGCCAGCAACCTCCCTTGAAGTGAGCATTTTTCACTTGAAAAGAGGGTGCCCAACTCCTAAACCCCAAGGAAACTAAATGTGATCTAGGAAAATAAGGTCTTAAGTTACACATTTCTTATCAGCCAGTGATTCCTCTTTGGAGGACACCTTCATTTCGGACCTGGAGTTGGATCAGAGGCTGTGAGGAGGGTGAGGAGAGCAGGAACAGTGAGGAGGAGCTGCCAGGGTGAGGCTGTTGTTATGGCATGGCAGGTCTCGGTGCAGTAATCATCGCCTGAACTTTAGAAAGGCACTCAAAGCAATTAACTGTCTGGTTTGGTTAATTACCACAGAAGCTTTCGGGCCAAAAGGGCACTGCAGTAAAGGTAAACAACAACTTGCTTCATCAAAGCAAAGATGATTCTGGTTCCTCTTAACGGAGAGGAGAGATGAGCACTAGGGAATAAACATTCCATTTCTAAATGTCACATATATGCAGTTCCTTTATTTTTAACAGGCACTAGAGGGAGCAGCTTTAATAAGTAGATTTATATGAAACTTCTACTAATTCCTTATAATTTCAGCTACGTTGGGGTGTGATATTCGTAAAGACTTGACATCATCATGGTGAAAGGGATTTGGAGTTTAAGTGTGTGAGCTGGCAATAGCTGAAAAGGAGACCCTGACCAGCAAAAAAAAGAAGCTATTAAAAGATGTATTATTAGGTCAAAATTCACCATCTTTTTTCGAACTGCAGATCCTGGATAAATCTTGAAGTAGAGATCTGTACCTGTGCATGAAAAATTTAAGTCTTCTGGAAGTGAGGTCACTTTTCTGTTACTTTTAAGGCATGTCTTAGTAGTAGTCCATGAACCACAGGAATCTGCAAGTCATGGGCTGGAAAACACCGAGGTAAGGGCTGCTCTGTGCTACAGAGCATCTCCCAGTGATGGATTTGGTGCTTCAGGAAAGGGTAAACAGAAGACCTCTAAGATATACCTCGTAAATTGTGCAGTGGCACTTGAGAAGCCTGCCAACTCTCTCCAATAAAACTTCCATCCTGAAACATGAACTGCTATATTTCTGATAGAAGATACAAAAAAACCTGACAGTGGCTTCATGAGATCATCTGGCACTGCTCTTTTATAATCCATCCTGTAATATATCTGCACCTTCCCAGCTCCATCATTGGGTATTTTATAAGCTAAACATCACATTCCTGGAATTAAATGCTCATTATCCTTTCTTTTCTTCATTCATCCGAGTGGACTGCACTTTTATTTACAATTGAAAAAGCAGACTTGGATACTATAATCTTAAGCCAACTACCATGTACAGTAGTTGGTGCTACTACAGTTGGTGCACTCCACCGAAGCCTGACCAAGAAAGCCGGTAGCAGAAAAAGTTACAAATATTTCTGAGAACTTGAACTCAACACCTTTGGTTTTCAATCAAAGCATCCTGATTTGACACTGATGCTCCAGAAAAGAGCGTTTTGTTAGACCACACTTGCGAGGAGGAACAGGCAGAGTTGGGGGGTGGAGAGATTTGAGGGTGTTGTATTTACTGATCTGGCTATTGAGGTAGGGGTAAGGAAA